GTCAAGGCCGTAAAAAAACACTTGAATCGAACCATTGCAAATTCACGGTTAACTTATGATGAACTATATACGGTATTAACACAAATAGAATGTTGCTTAAACTCCCGTCCTTTAATTCCTTTATCCGAGGACCCTACGGATTTGAATGTCCTTACTCCCGCCCACTTTCTAATAGGTAGCTCACTACGCGCACTGCCTGAGCCTGATGTGAGAGATATGTCTATTAATTGATTGTCTCGATGGCAAAGAGTGCAGCAACTTGTCCAACACGTTTGGGCACGATGGAGCAAGGAGTATTTGGGGCAACTACAAGGACGAAACAAGTGGTCCAAATGCAGAGGACCATCCATTCAACCTGGGACGATGGTGTTAATAAAGGAGAATAACTTACCTCCTTTAAAGTGGTTATTAGGCAGAGTCACAAATGTTCACCCAGGACCTGATGGTGTCGTAAGGGTAGCTACGGTGCATACGAATTTGGGATCCAAAAAGCGAGTTGTTCGGTTATTATGTCCATTACCCATAGACACATGAATCACACAGGTTACGTGTTAATTAATTTTGTTTATATAATTTTTTACTATACATATTTACCTCATTACAACTGTACAACTGTAGCACACTATTTATAAATATTATATAGGTCAGCTAATATCAACTATTAAGTATCCATATTGATGCATATGCATATATATATATATTTATTATTTAATGACCGACCATTGTTATCTTCATTGTAGCGATAGTCAATAATATTGTGTATTATTTTTGATGTTTGTTCACCTATTTAGTGAACATTAGTTCTATCACCTAATTATTCGATTACATTTATTATTATAATTTTTATTAGTTATTGTAAAATCATATGAAACCTGTTTGTAATAATTTATATTTAATAAGTCATTTATATTGTTTAATTATACTTTTTTATAATATGTATTATATTTTGAAACCGTGTTTCAAGGTGGGCCCATGTTACGGCGTGAACACCGTAATATACTTATATATAATATCGATGTAATGTTTATATGAAATCGTTATCTGTAAGATTATCATTGTGTGGTTGTGCCGTAATATGTCCTCACGTATTAGTTAGTTGCCGTCGGACCAGTCAAGTGGTACGACACACGTAAAACGAAATATACAGTCCACTTATTATATAATAAAAGTTTCTAGTTTTTTATATTGGTTTTGTTCAATAAAAACAATCTATTTAGAAATAAACAAATTGTCTAATGGGTTATATAGCAAACCAACCATTATTATGTAATGTTTACGTTGTATAGAGTTTTTCGTTGTAAAGAGTTTTGTTATAAAGAGTTTTCACTGTATTTTAATTGCTAATTATAACAAAATAAAATGCATATTTCAATGCATTTTTGTATGTATATAAACCAATTATTATTAATACCTATCTAAAAATTCTTAAGAAAGACACACCTTATAATATGTATTACAATAACATGAACAAAGTTTTTCCCTCGCAAGAATGCACATGTAATTGTGCATTTTATTCAATTATTGTCTGTAAATTACTATGGTCAATGATTTTCAAAATGGTGTGAATGATATTACAAATGCGGCCACTGATATTGAATATTTTATTTTTGAAGTTTGAATCTGATATCTTGTTTGCAGATTTCATAGAGATAAGAATATCAAATGTAGGTACCTACAATCTCAAGAGAAGATTTATCAAAGTTGTACAATTTAAAGTGCCTCAATAAGTACTCACATATTGATGTCTAAGAAACAAAGGAATGTAACGTACTTTTCCTTAATAATATTTTTTCAGCCCAAAGACCATCACAATAATAGTTATTAGTAGGGTGCGGATTTGCATGTATTCAAAATTCAAAAATATGCGCATATATATGTATTTAATTTTATCCAAATATGTAATTAAAAATACAAGATATGTAAAAAAAAATGTTTTTATTCTTGAAGAAAAAATTTATAAAATTAGTAAATTAAATAAGTAGGTAAATATAAATTATATAACACTATATTTTATTGCTATTTTATTAACATTAATTATTAGGAATACATTCAAATTAATAAGTATTTATTCATTGGAGTTAGGATGCTGAAACAACATCTATTTTAATTTTGGAAATCATATTTTCAATGAAACTTAAATTGTCGCAACAGTATGCAGCAGCATGTAACCAAGTACCCCAGCGAGTTATCACTGGCTCCGGGGGGAGAGGTGTTTGGGTTAATTTTCTTTAAATAAATTTACATGACAGGGTGCTTTAAGGAAAAATTTTTTTTAGTTGATATCGAAAAATCAACTTCGGAAAATTCTGATCTAATTTAACCTGGAGAACATAACACATAATATAAAACGATGATACATTATTAATTTTGTAAATAGCTCAATATTTAACAAAAATATGTAACACGAGTAAAATATGTAAAAATATGTAATTAAGATTAAATGTGTGAAAATATGTAATATCAAACATTGCTTAAAATAATCAGAAAATCCTGTAAGTAACGTATTTCTATAAAGGAATCATTCGAATATTATCATGCACGACAAATATGTAAATACATACAAATCCGCACCCTAGTTATTAGTTAATATGTTTATATGTGTCTTCGTTTCACATATTATACATGTTTGGTGCCGTTACCGATCCTACAATGATCGGCGGTTGTCGGCAACAACTCGCGTGTTGTGTTGTAGACAGGAGCGGAATGGGTTACCCAAGACATTGATTAAATACAAATAGATAGCTCACCTCACGTCTGTACGTTGTTCGGCAGCGCTCTGTACCCGATATTTGGACCCGAATATCTATTAGTTTGGACCCCATACGTTAGAGTTCGCATTGACTGTTGTGCATTATTAGAAAAAACGATAAAATGTCTATTTATTCCATGAAAAATTGAAAAACATTGATAGTACTATTGCTGAGTATTGATAAAACAAATCGCAGTAAACACCATTGTACTAAGTACCTTAGTAGTAATATTTTAATATAAAATATATATTATAGTTAATCATCAATAATTCTTTATTATGTCATTATAGTAATTATCAATTATAAATTACTAAATTATTATGTTGATTGTAAAAAAAATCAGTCTTGGATCACGGCATCAAGCATTCAAGCGCATACATATTTATTATTGATGAGAATAAGTTTGATCTTATTTATAGGAAAGGAGTCTTCTTATCTGTAGGAAGAATACTAAAACACAAAATTAAAAAAGGTTAAACAATCTTATTTTATATTGATTGATGCAAAGTATATACACATATTGTATCAATATATTTAGTAATCATAAGTACATATTAAATTATAGCTACTCAAAGCAAAAATTAATAATAAAAATAAATGAAAATCATAAAAAATAAATAATTATAAATCATCCAACATATTATTCAGTTGGTTTTTGAAATAATATTTTTATAATAGTTATTGACTTATAATGAACATTCCTTATAAATGACAAATACGTAAAACAATTAATAACCATGAAAACATTAATCAATGCCCAAGAATATACAAAATACTATCACGTAAAATAATTTTACGGCGCTTATGACACCGATCGACAATATATATTATATAATACAAACAGAAAATTAAATGATAATAATAAATTAACTGGTATAGGGCGCCCAGGAATAATTACCACTACACACATATATAGGTACCTATATATATAAATGGCAATATCGGTACACAATATAGTATAAAATTACAACAGAAAAATAATAATGATTTACAAAATAATAGGACGACCTGGTTTGTTGCGACTTGCTCGACGATGAACGTAGCCTGGTCGATGATGGCAGAGTCCGGTGTGCAAACCGTTGGCAAAAGACAAAAGACGGGAACATTGTCAGTCAACGGTCTGGCTATCGTCAGACGAACTGTCGCCGGACACTGGAGGGAGGACTTGCTAGAGTCGCCTTTATCTCCTCTACCCCATGATGTCCGACGAAAAATGTATATATATGACACATGTAGGTATTATTATATGGCCGAATGCCCGAATCGCTCCGCGCTCGAACATATACAACTTTGTATTTTAGAAAAACCTACTATCACAGATACAGCATATCTTCTCCAGAATGTTTTCTTGTATGGCGTCTTAAATTTGATCCGTTGGTAAACTTTTTATAACAAATATCACATTGATACGGCTTTTCTCCAGTATGTATTCTGGTATGGCGTCTTAAATTTGATTTACGACTAAATGGTTTAAAACAAATAGCACATGCATACGGCTTTTCTCCAGTATGTCTTCTGGTATGGAGTCTTAAATTTGATTTATAACCAAATGGTTTAAAACAAATAGCACATGCATACGGCTTTTCTCCAGTATGTGTCCTTGAATGTCTAATTAATATTGATCTATAAGGAAACAGTTTATCACAGACATTGCATTTGTGCTCTTTTTTTGTGTTGTGTTTCTTTGTAACAGTTACATTGGATGTTGTAGAAATGTTTTTATTACAGTTATGGATCAATGTATTTTCCCTTAAGCAGTTAGATGTCTTCATACGAGCCAGTAATCCTGAAGACTTGCTATCGTTGGAGACTGTTCCTTTAATTTCCGATCCGTCAATAAAATTTACTTTTACTAATTCAACTATAGTTCTAAAAAAATAAATTAAAGTATTTTTAAATTTTTAAACTATATCAAATAAACGAAAAAAAAATATAACTAAATAGTGTGTAGATTTAATAATAAATTTGAAGATTTATTTTTATAGATCATAAATTTATTTATATTTTCAAAACAACATATCAAACAAACATATGGACTAAAACTTAAATATTTAAATATTTATTTTATACCTATCAGATTTATTTAAATATATTGCATACAATTAAAAAATATAAACATAAAACTACAATATTTATGGAATTTTTTCAAAAGAAATATTACTATCACAAAATCAAAAAAGTTTGTAAAATAGTATGTAGTTTAAGACGGATAAAGTATTTAAATTTACATAGTTAAGGGTTTAAATTAAAATCACATTTTCTCATAAATATATCATTTTACAACCATATTAAATAGATTCTTTTTTTTATATAAATTTAATGAAAGGTCCAATTCAGGCAAAAGTAGGTAATATATAAAAGAAAATTAATATCAGTTATTTTGTTGAAAATAATTTTGTGGGTACTTCCTTGAAACATTCAAAGTATATTATCATATTGTATAAACACTATGAAATTTTCAAATTCAAAGTTTTTGACTAAAATAAATCCAACCTACTGTTGTACAAAGAGACAAATCGCAAAAACATCACAAAATAAATATCAAAAATAAAAGCCGACGGAATGTCAGATGTCTCGATTATGTACAATGAATTTTTATATCAATCAATTCAAATTTAGCATAAACATTATATTGACCCACATGCCACTTTATGTATTATAGAGCGAGACCTGTTGCCAAATATTTTTATTTATTAATTTTCAGAAATTATCTCTAAGCCACATAATATTTAAAAATAAATTAATGTAAATAAAAATTGTATCATCAAATTTAATATTACATGTAGCATATTATTTAAATTGAATTCATACCCTAGTAGAAATAATTGACCTCCACTATTATGGTCTGTGTCTTCTATAATTTCCTCTTGAATATTGCCATTAAATACTTGATCATCAATAATATCCTCTTCCACATTTCCATGAAGTTCTTGATCACCATACATCAAATTAGGTTGGAATGGCATAACTCCGGAACTGTGCAATATATCATCATAACAAAATTGTAATTTAAATATAAATTGTATTATCAAATTTAACATATTATACTATAATGTAAATTGAATTCATACCCTATTTGAAATAATTGACCATCACTGACATGGTCTGTGTCTTCTATAATTTCCTCTTTTATAATACCATTCAATACTTGATCATCAATAATTTCCTCTTCCATATTTCCATGAAATTTTTGATCACCACATATCATATTATGTTGAAATGGCATAACTTTAGAACTATGTAATATATCATCATAAGAAAAAATAATTAAATATAAACTGTATAATCAAATTTAATATATGTGGCAATATAAATTTAATTCATACCATATTTTTAATACTTGACTATCATTGTGGTGGTATTTTTCATCAATTATTTCATCTTTAATACCTCCATTAAATACTTGAATATCAATATTTTGTTGTTTAATAATTCCTTTAAATACACTATCATTGCATCCAATAAGTGTGTTAGACGACACTCTAGAACTGTATATTAAATAAAATAATAATTCACAGAAGATATTGCAAAAAAATATCGTTTTTTGTTCTTTATTATGTAATAATAGGTTACTTACGAATAAATAAGATACAATGCACACATTTAATAATAATAAGTGCACATTAGCAAAACACCAAGTTTTTGAAATTAAAAATTATTAAATAAACTATTCCCAAAACGTAGGTACAAATTAAATTTTGTAATGCCACAATAATTATAATGTATACTCACTTGGAATCCATTGTGCAATTATCAATTGCAATTCTGAATGGTTCCATATTGAATTATGTTCACTTTATTTTTTGTTTTTCAAGTAAGTACTGTGAACACAAACTATTACAATTAGGGACCATTTATGTCAAACATGTCATCAAATCTTAAGAGGGGTTTGCAAATTGTGCATTTGGACCTATTTTTTACTTTACCATAAATAAACTGATCAACTTATATTTATTTAAAATTGGTTATTGAGCTAGAATTTTATATAAATATTACTATTTTGTTTTATATACAATTTCAGCATGTTCCTACGATTGAGCAACCACAAAAAACAAGTTAACAGTTATAAATTATATGTTTAAGAATACATTTTAATAAAAAAAATAGGATTCTTAGTTATAGTCTTCTACTAATGAATAATACAGATTGTCCATATATTACAAAATCACATTCCATCTTTTAATTATACTATTAAATGTTTTTTATAAAAATTAGATAGCAATTTTAGGGATTTCTCCTTCTCTACAGTTGAAGGATCGGATATTGCAGTAACTTTAGACAAATTAAAAATGTGAAATAACTATTTTGTCACCATGGGAGTTGTAGTGCATTGGCAAAAAGTTTGCAATAAACATATCCAGAACCTAGATGATAGCAGATAACATAACAGTGGTGCATTGCTAAAAATATTTGTTGGTGTACGCTTGTAGAACGTGGTTAAATCATAGTTGTAAATGGTATAATCTTAATTCTAGTCAAAACCATTTTTCTCACTGAGAAGTGTAATACACTTAAAAATCTTATTATGTGTATCATATTAGAACTACACAAGTATTTTTCAACCAATAACTAAATGAAAAGCAAGGAAAAACTCAACAACTTTTGTTTTTTATATAATATTAAAGTAAAATATATTATGAAATATGAAATTAAAATTTGCACTAAAAATATTGAAAATGAATTTGTCCACAAATGTGGAGACTTTATACATATTTGTATGTATTATAAATTTACAAGCGTACCAAGTAAAAAATAGACATAATATATTTATATCGGTATATATTATCTGAAACTAGTAATTGGTTGTCTATTCAGCTCTATTTATTATGTGCTAAATGGTATAGTTTAATATTTCAAAGAATAAATTATAATAAAAATAGGATTCCTAATACTCATCTCATTCCCTACATACCATTTTCTGTTACATAACTATTCTTGCTTTTAAATACAGGAAATGTCCCCACAGTTTCACCAATCAATAATATCAATAGTAAATATGTCCCATTGCTGAAAAACATTTTCTTGTCGATACATCAATATAAAAATATCTCTGTTGAATTGTTGATTGATTATTTTAAGAATTTTGCTCTAGTTTAGGGATTGCTCCGCCGCAGGTTGAGCCGATTTGAAGTACCACTAGATAATTAAAATGGTAAGACATACGTTTTAATTAATTTATGACAGCTATGGCAGTACATTGTCAAGAATTGTTTTTGTCCAAACTAGTATAAAATTATACCTCACTGGGATACTGAGTTATATTAATACATTCGTTGAGTTTTTAGTTAATTTCTATCAGAACATTTTTATTTTAAGTTATAAATAATAAATATTCTTTATTATCAATGAATGGAGTAGGTACATAAGAGTTAAACAGAGATTATAGCTATTTAAGTTTGTGTACAACCGCTAATATAATATTACAATTTGTAATTTTAACAAGCCTATGGACTTATCATTTTATACCTTCATAGAAAACATTGATTTCAGTCTGTGATATTCAATTTGTATTTACCTATTGCAGATACTTTAATTACATTTTAGTTTAACATACTACGTATTGAGTTTGGTGTTAATTTTTGATTTACCTAGTATAAACTGTTGATATTAAACATATTTATTACAACTAACAGGCTGGTACTTACTGCTCATTCAAGCCGGATAATTTATTAGCTAAGACTATTACCACAATACCATCTCCCATAAACGGCACCAAAACTAATTATCACCAAAAGGTAAAATCATGACAACAATTATTAAAATTATCTCTATTTATTAATAGTACTGATGGGCGATGGCCAAAGTCGACTGGCGTCTTTCGAATTGGCATCGGGTGATGTCAATGTGCGATTTACAAATACATAAACCTTTTAATAGTTGACGAATTCATTCGAGTAATACTAAGCACATGATAATTACCGTAAAGAAAATGAAGGGCAAGCACTGACCTTTTCAAGCCACCTATTGGAGTTAAATCGGAGCCGATCTGCTTGGTCTCGCCGGACTGCCGTGTCTTGAAGCTGAACTGCTGTAGAGGAGGGAAGTACCAATGGTGTTGAACAACGTAATTTGGACCCGAACTGATCGATCGTTGCATGCAATGGACCTGAACTGGTCTTTAATACTCTTCAGCAACGGTCGTACCGCCGAAGATAATTAGGGCTTTTAAAATAAAAAGCACAACACTGGCGAACGAATACCGTGTTGTCGAAAACAACGATAATCAAAATTGAATAGCGAACATTAAGAGAAACGTGCTTCTTGGTTACAGTCGTTACCAGATAAGTAAAACCACCTGCAGCGGCTTCGCTCTTCCGTACGTGTAGCCCAAACTAGTCGCCGCGTGCTTTAACCGCACGGCGCGCCTTAGTCGACTCACTAATTTGTTTATTATAAATGTGTGAAAATAAATTATGCGGCTGACAATAATAATATTTATAGATTAATGTAGTATGGAAAATACGGAGTATAAATGGATATTTACTTATTCTCTATAAGGTTACTCATTTTCGGTAGTAACATTCAAGTACGGAGAACCCCTGGTTTTTGGTTTTCGCGCAGTCACCGGATCACTTTTTTTGGAGCGTCTGCGGCCTGGAAGTATTGAATAATGTGACTCGGTAAAATTATATTTCCACCAATGACAACCATTGTAGATAAAAAAATGTTAAAATGTTATTTTTTTGGTAAAGTACAAATGAATATTTTATGATTAAAGAATTCACAAGTATAAAACTAATAGACCTGCAGTCTACTATAAAATAAAATAGCCATGATTATATATCAAAAAAGTGTACGAATATTAAAAAAAGCTGTTGTTGTTTTATGTATAACTCTAATTATCTACCATATTCTTACCAATTATATTATTACTTTAGTTATTATGATTTAAAAAAAAATAATTAATATCTTCAGTATTCTACGTACAGACTCTGTGTAATTATTTTTTAAATATATATTATATATTGTTTTAAATGTTTGTTTATTTTATTATATTATAAATAATAAATATTAAAAATTAAATATAGGCTTGTGGAAAAGTGCACCTATAGTGGCTTAGTATCTGACCGTACAAATTTGTATACAAAAAACAAATAACCAATACAATTTTAATTTTGATACCCAATAGTAAAAAAAGACTATGGTCTGATTTTAAAAGTGAATTTGAAGAATGGGCCGAATCAATCTCTTGCTGCCCCTGAAACCGGAGGCTGCGCACGCCTATGAGTCGCATGATAAATACAATTAGTGTGTCCATAATATACTAGTTTGGAAACATCATAGAACACTATAGAAGCGACACCACCCCTCCACTTTTATTTTCTTCATTTCGGAGCGACAAGAATGATGTTGTAAGCTTGGCGGCAAGGCATGATGTTACGAATACTTTTATCATCGAAATGCATTGCTCGAGATCAGCCCGCCAATTTTTTTTTAAAAAAAGGTCCCTACTTAGTCCACTCATTAAGATTTTTATAACCCCCCTTCCACAAAATAGATGAAGTTGATAATTTATTAGATATATTTAATTCTCGAATGAAAAATAAGCCACAAGAAGACGACGTTGAATCCGACGATGAATCAGAACCGACGGGTGCAAAACGATTTTGCTTATCTTTTAAAAATGCTGAATATCAAAATAATTTCTCATTAAAAATGTTAAATTTTTTTAAATATATAAATTTACAAAAATTTAATACATCAACTAAGCAATGTGACAACATTAAGAAAAGCTACAACATTAAATCTCTGACAGGTTGGATGATTTCAATAGCAGGATTAATTAAATTACATAATATATTATCAAAAGAATATGATGAAGAGATTGAACTAATGACAAGGAGATTGAACCAAGATTGTTTGGAAAATTTATTCGGTACTATGCAAATTCAAAATAGTAACTGTTTAAACCCCACAACTATTCAGTTACAGCGCACCTTCAAAAAGTTATTTTCATTAAGTTATTTTGAATATAATGGAGGTGCAAATTGTTTGGAAGATATAGACCAAGTACCTCAGTACTTTAAATAAAATACCAGCAGAAGATTTAAAAACAACATTCCCTGAAAACCAAAAGGTAATTCAAATTAATCCGTTACCCATTGATGCTACCAATTACAGATCATAAGAATTGCCAGAAAGAAATGTTTTTACATATTACATATATATGTGGTTATTTAATAATAAAGTAT